GGGGGTGGGGGGAGGAGATGATGGTAGCGGATGGATGGACTGGGGTTTTGGTTATGGGGAGTACAAGGGAGTCGTTAGAGGAGGTTTGACTGTATTTCTTCCGTCAACAATGGGTGGCTGTCTTGGACAGGTTGAACTGTGTTAATAATATGTGAGGCATCGTGGTGAAATCAGGTGCTCGTCAAAATAATGGAATCCAAGAAATCGGCATATCTATGGCCCATGGGCAACTTTTTTCTAAGTTTATTTTTTTGGCTCAACACCATTTTTATGTCCAAGTAAAAACATATTTGTGTGTGGATTTTACTGAAAAGCTTTGATTAAAGGCACAAAAAAAGGTAAATTTTCAGTTTCCAAGGACTCTCAGGCTATGGAAGTTATCAAATTTTGTCTACCATTTTCTCGTTAATTTTACCTCTGAAACAAGGCGACCCTGACCTCCTTCAATCGCTTCAAAATAGATGGATATTTTTTTTGTTCCAAAAGGAAGGCAAATGAGCAGGCTTTAAGATAATACCAATAACCCTATATGCCCAATGATTGACGAGCACTTGATTCCACCACGTCGTGACATATATTTCAACTAGCTGGGTTTCCCGTTCAATGAAAGGACTCAAAAGAATCGATTGTCGAGTCACTATGGGATCAGTGCATGCACTCTTAGTGAACAGAAACCTCATTTGTTTACAATGGCATCTTAGAAGATCGACTTTCCCAAGATTAGATCTAAACGAAACTAATGAAAAACTGAAAATAAAACAACAGTGACTTCAGACTCCTCAGTAAAACTGTGCACCCTTTAAATGATTCTGAACCACTGTTAATTTTTTCAAATTCGAAAGTTAAGCGGTTCCGAAGTTTTAGGAGGCCAAAGTGACGAACTTTCACAAATATAAAATGTATATGCATGGCAATGACAGTAGGTTGAAGACAAGTTCTGTGCTTTTAAAATGTACCCAACATCAGCCAGCAAAATAAGCTAGGGAGGGAGAATGAGAGGAGAACAGAGAGTGAGAGGGAGAGAGAGAGAGAGAGACAGACAGACAGACAGACAGACAGGCAGACACGATGTAAACAAAGATATCAAACGATGACCTCAGCCAGTGAAAATGTTCACTGTCTCTCTGAGAGACCAAAATTATCATGCCTGTAGGAAAGATGTGCATACATAAACATTCCTAGGGTATTGATTTTTCGTTTCAGCATTGTACCAACGCACTCCCAGAAATGTGATTTGGGAAAGGGGGGTGGGTGGGCTGGGGGTGGTCGGGTGTGGGTGGGGATCGAGGTTTTTGTTTTTCCTCCTTCTCTCTCTCTCTCTCTCTCTCTCTCTCTCTCTCTCTCTTGAAGAAGAAGAAGAAGAAGAAATCTTTATCGCAACTACTACTACTACTACTACTACTACTACTACTACTACTACTACTACTACTAC